TTTGACGCAAGCAGTTGATAACTTGATATATCTCATTTTAATATAATTTTGGTATTGCTTGAAACGAAAATTGAAAAAGAAATAAAATAGAATTTGTAACACTGTGTTCAACACTTTTCACTGCTAATTCTTATTTTTAACAAAGTAAAAAGATGTTAAAGTGGATAAAATAATGCATATTTTAAAAAATTATATTTTTTATCATAAATAATCAATTTTTGTATAAAACTTTTAACTCGTGATTTATTCTTGATAAAAATTTAAGGCCTCTGAAATTGAGGGCCTAAGGCGAAGGCCTTATTTTGCAATGCATAGAGCCGAAACTGAGTTAATGTAACTTATGTAGACACATAATTTTGACTGAATTTAAGTTTTACACCATTTTTAAAACTTAAATATTTTTTATAAATGTTTTTACTTTTATCTTATTTTTATCAAGTTTATTTTACAAGATTTGAAAAACTACAAAAAAAATAGAGTCACACTTTGAGGCATGTTTTAATTTTCAATTATTTAAAAAAAAGTTTTTAAAAAAATAATATATGTTTTCTTTTAAATTAAATTTACTAAATAGGCTACTATTTCTTAATTATATTTTTAAACTAAATTTTTTATTTTTATTAATTCAAAATAGTTAGCTAATATTTTTATTATTATAATTTTTATTATATTTACTTAAAAAATCTGCACTAAACAAACCACCATGTTACCACACTTCACCTCACTGCCCCCATTTCCTCACCCATATCTCAACCCACACTTCCTCTCATCCTATACACTACAACACACACCTAGACCTACATTACTAGGAAAACATTGAACAAACAAAAGAAAAAAAAAACAGAAACAGAAGAGAGCCAGAAAAAAAAATACGTGAATAGAAAGAAAAAAACAAAAGAAAAACAACAATCTACTCAAACTCATTCTCACATTTACACAACTACAACTATACATAATCACCCACGTATACATTACTCAATAAGGCCGACATACGTACAAAAACAAACATTTGTTTTCTTTCACACTATAATAAGAAGGTTGAGTTGAGGTTCACTTTCGTGGTTTCAAGTCCGTGGTTCTTTATTAAGGTTTTTTTTTTCATAAATCGATTTTCACAAGAGGTACTGTTAAATTTTTATTTTACATTTTGATTTTTGTGATTATATAAATTTCATTCCAATAGTGTGATGTTTGCTCAAATTTTAATTTGTGTTGAATTTCAATGCTATAATATTGAAATGTTTCCTTTTTATTTTATTCTTATGTTATCTTCCATCTTGTACCATATACTATAATCATTAAAGTACCTTTAACATCAATTTAAAATTAATTCAATTGCATGAAAATAGTATCCAATAATTTATTGGGTCAAATTTATCTAGACAACAAATATTTATTAAAGAAAAACTAAGAGATGTAGAGTTACATTTTTTATGTTTATGTTTATTTACTATTCTCTTGTCATAACTTGTAAGTACTAAAAATATAAATGCATCTATGTTGAATTAGAATATGAAAAAAAAACTTTTTTTATTTGTTTAAGATTTTGGGTTCTTATTACATTAATAAAATTCATGAATATAAATAATAGAGGTAATTTAATCATGAATAATACACTTAAACTTTCTACTAATAGGTAAAATATTAAAATATATGATCCATTTTAAAAATCGGTTTTAATTAAAAATATGACTACACATCTTTCTTGAAACATAAATATACTCAAAAATACGGTGACGTACCTTGTCCGACACATATAATTAATTTTTATTAATTTAACATAAGACGTATAGATAAGATTATTAAGTATAATGCAGAGAAGACAGTTATATCTCTAATCGTGAAGGCCAAGAATGTGGTTGCGCATCGAGGTCGAGATCAAATAAAAAGTTCAAGAATAAAAAATAAATAGGAGCAAGTGACATGTAATAATATATCCAAATAATAATTTAAAATACGTATAATTTAATAAAAGAGACCGTGCTACAACCACGGGACTCGAGGGATGCCTAATACCTTCCCCTCGGTCAACAGAATTCCTTACCCGAATTTCTGGTTCACAGACCAAAGTAAAGAGTCACTTTCTTTATTGAAAAGGAAATCTATAATGTTAGATAACATTTGGTTCTAGACAAGTGACAAATTCGGTCGAGTGTGAAAAAGAGGCTTGTAACCTCTTAGTCATGAATGTGGTGCACTTCACACCCATAAGTAAGAGTTTACACGAACATAATTTCCAAAGTTCTTGGTGTATTGTCAATTGGAAACTTGCTTCCAGCAACTACTAAAATTTTTGGATGCGAGACTGAAAATGACAAAAGTCAAAGAAAAATCCACATGCCTTCTGATAGAGGTGTGGTTTGATTGTGGTGAAAGTCGCATCCTCTATTCGCGTCTTAAGTGTTTGACACTCCTCTTTAGACTATGTCCCAGTTCGCTGCTAAGAAAAAGTTTGACGTTGTGCTGCATCCATTTTGATGTTGTCCGCACGTGCGATTTTTGGAGAATTCACCCTTTCGGATGATCTCGACAAAAGCTGAGATAAAACTCGTCAGCATAAAAATGAAATTCAAATGGGAGATAGTGTCTTTACCGGGTGGACAATTGGTTGCTCTCTTCTGCATTTGACGTCAACTTGATCGGTTTGATGTAAATCCAATAAAGCTTATGTATTATGTTTGCGATATAATCTTTGATGTATTCTTCATTTGATGTCGAAATAAATAGAAATTGATGCAGTGCTGATATTTCTCTTAATGTCATCTTTGATGATCTTATTGATGGTTACTTTTACTCAAAATAAAAGAATGCAGCTGATGCTGATGGATAAATATTTCTCATGAGATGCACAATTCCTTCTGTGGCAGTGCATGATTTCTTGCAGGGCGTGAATATCCTCCTGCGATGCGTGATTTATTGCCGGTCATGAATATCTTCCTGTGATGCATAAATTTCTGAGAGGCATGAATATCTTCTTGCGATGCATAATTTTCTATGAGGCATGAACATCTTCTCGCGATGCAAACTTTCTGTGAGGCATTTTTAACTCGCGATGCATGAATATTAACTCGCGACGCATGAATATTAACTCGCGAGGCATGAGCTTTTGCGATGTATGAATATTAACTTGCGATGCATGATCTTCCGTGATTCATGAATACTGACTCGTGATAAGTGATCTTCCGTGATACATGAATATTGACTCGCGATGCATGATCTTCTGCAATGCATGACTTTCTACGGGGCATGAATATCTTCCCGCAATGAATAACTTTTTGCGAGGCATGAGTATCTTCTCGTGATGCATAAATTTTTGCAACGCATGAATATGTTCTCGCGATGCATAAATATTGACTCGCGATGCATGATTTTCTACAATGCATGAATATTCACTCGCAATGCATGATCTTCCGCGATGCATGAATATTGACTCGCGATGCATGATCTTTAGCGATGCATAAATATTGACTCGTGATGCATGATCATCCGAGATGCATGACTTTATGCGTGGCATGAATATCTTCTCGCAATACATAACTTTCTGCGAGGCATGATCTTCCACGATGCATGAGTATTAACTCGCGATGCATGGATATTGACTCTTGATGTAATCATTGGTACCAAATGAAGGTAGTGCTTCAATTAAGCAACAGTGATCTTCTGGGTGCCTTCTAAATAATCATATTGTCTCAAATGAAAATAACGGTAAAATAACTCTCCAGATAGTGTATCGTCCAGATAGAGAATAAAATAGAATGACCCTTCATGGGTAGTGTATTGTCTTGATTAATAGATGACCCTTCAGCTAATGTATCATCTTAAATGATAATATCAATAAAATTTTATTTTAAGTAAACACACTATCAGTTGGTTCCTCTTTGAATCTAGCTGGACGCTTCTTATAGCCTTCATGTTGCTGAGAAACGAAATAACGTAACACTCCCAAGCCTTTGATATGTGCAATATAAAATAATTCCTGCATCTGCAAAAACATCACAGATTTTGGGGAAGAGCTTTCTACCCCCTTGACTTCCCATATTCGTCAATCGAAGAAATTTAATGAATTCTAAGCAATACCATAAATTTACATTCATAGAAAAATCGTTAGTTTCAAAATGGACTGATATGTGTCGATTCTTTAGTTGTTTACTCCTTTTCATGCTATCTCCAGTTGATCTTCTGATCTCCCAATTCTTGATAGATAAGATAATTTACTTTATGCCAAAACAAAGGAAACATAAAGGGAAAATCTTTAAGAAAAATAAATTTTCGAGAAGTAGTATTTTGAAAAGGGTGACTGTCAAGTGTCATGTCACGTCAGGCTTGTTCTGATTATTTGCTTGGGAGTATTCAAAGTCACTCTAGACTGGCGATAAATACATGTTAAAATTTTGAGGCCATCCTCAAAATTTCTGTCCAAGTTAACTGTCTTGGCTTATCCTTGATTGTTGGTAAGCAAATCATTCGTCGAAGTTGTGAATTTTGAAATATTTTTGGTCTTGACTTGTTGAGAAAAAATCTTTTTCTTGACAATTTTTGAGTCCCTCTCAAAAATTCTGTCCCAGTTTCTATTGTAAAGAGAAATAGAAATCTTACGAAAAAGATGACCGAACCCTTGTGGCGCCGACATATCTCGTTGAGGCAGAAATCAGGTCAAACGTAGTTCCCCTTAAGATTAACAATAATAAGAAATTTTTTAAAGGAACCGACCAAGGTCGACATAGGTTGCCTATGTATGTCATCCTTGAGAATTCAGGTCGAACGTAGTTCAAATACGAAGAAATGTTAAAAGGGATAAACGAGGTGACCGAGGCAGACATAGGCCGCCTACGTATCTCATTCTTGAGAATTCAGGTCAGGCGTAGTTCATTACAAAGATGGATGAAATTTTAAACAAACTAAATACAAGCAAATAGAACGATTACAGGGAAATAATAGAAATACAAAGTGAAGCTTCACATGTAATATCTCTTGACAACATCTGAATTAATCGGTTTCGGCTATGCGGTGCCATCCATCTCCGACAAGATCAAAGAATCTCCAAATAATACTTTGTGAACCATGTAAGGTCCTTGCCAATTTGGTGCGAGTTTTCCTGTGTACTCATCCTGATGAGGGATAATGTGCTTAAGTACTAGATGACCGATTTCAAAAATTATGGCTTTGACTCTCTTGTGGAAAGCACGAATCATTCTTTGTCGATAATGTTGACCATGACAAATGACAATCATTCTCTTTTCATCAATCAACGTTAAGTGATCGACGCGCTTGCTGACCCACTCAGCATTACTCAATCCTGCTTCTTGAATGATCCTTAGGGATGGTATCTCAACTTCAACAGGTATGACTGCTCTGTTCCATATACTAGCAAATATGGAGTGGCTCCAATCGACAATCTGGTAGTCGTTCGATAATCCAACAGAGCATATGGCAACATCTCATGCCAACCTCGATGATTGTCAATCATTTTCCTCAAGATCTTCTTGATATTCTAATTGGCGGCCTCTATAGCTCAGTTCATTTGAGGACGATAAGTAGTTGAGTTTCGCTGAGTAATCTTAAATTACTCACATATATCTCTCATCAACTGAATGTTGAGATTCGCACCATTATCAATAATAATGGATTCTGGCACTCCAAATCTGCATATCAAATTGTTGTTAACAAAATTAGCTACAACTTTTTCCGTCACCGACTTGTACGAAGCTGCTTCCACCCACTTGGTGAAATAGTCAATGGAAACCAAAAATTTTTTATGTCTATTAGAAGCGGTTGTCTCTATCGGACCGATTACGTCCATACCACAAACTACAAATGGCCAAGGCGGACTCATATCATTGAGTTCTTGAGGTGGCAGTTGCATCAAATCACTGTTCACTTGACATTTATGACATATCCGCACAAACTTGCAATAATCATTCTCCAGAGTCATCGAGAAATAATTGGCTCGCAGGATCTTCCTTGCAAAAGTGAGTCCACTCATATCTGCGTTTCAAACTCCAGCATGTATCTGTTCAATAAGCTTCGTAGCTTCAACAATATCTGAGAAGGCCTAAATCTGGGGTCCTCCTATAAAGGTGTTCTCCACTCAAAAAGAAGTTGAGAGCCATACGACGTATCGACTTCTTCTGGTTGAACATAGCATCTTCAGAATAATTTTTGGACTCCAAATACCTTTTTATATCAAAATACCATGTCAAACCATCTGGTTCCGCTTCGACGTATGAACAATGGACTGAATGTTCTTTCAGCTCTAGGTCTAGAAGATTAATGTAATCAGTATCTGGATTCTTAATCATCGATGCGATGGTGGCAAGAGCATCAGCCAAATAATTCTTTATTCTGGGAGTGTGTATGAACACGATCTTGCGGAATCCCTTGCACAACTTTTCTACATGTTGCACGTACGGTGTAATTTTTGGATTCTTCACAGCCCATTCTCCTTGAACCTGATGAATTAATAGATCAGAATCTCCAATAACGAACAGCTCGTGGACATTCATGTCAATGGCCATTTTCAAACCAAGAATACAAGCTTGATATTCAGCCATATTGTTCGTGCAATTAAAATGGAGCTTAGCCGCCATGGGATAGTGCTAAATTGATTATGACACTAAGACCACTTTGATACCTTTCCCTTGGTGATTCGCCGCTCCATCAAAGAATAGTCTCCACCTAGGATATGATTCAAAATATCTTCACCCACAAATGATACTTCTTCATCGTGAAAATAAGTCTTGAGCGGTTCATACTCTTCATCAACGGGATTTTCTGCTAGATGATCAGCCAAGGCCTGTGCCTTTATCGCCTTCTTAGTCACACACACAATGTCAAATTCACTCAATAGCATTTTCCACTTAGTTAACTTTCCTGTTGGCATCGACTTCTGGAAAATACACTTTAGCGGGTCCATTCTGGAAATGAGATGTGTAGTATAAGAAGACAAATAATGTCTGAACTTCTAGGTGAGCCAAGTCAAAGCACCACACATTTTCTTTAGAAGAGTATAAATAGATTCATACGGCATGAACTTCTTACTTATATAATAGATAGCCCTTTCCTTCTTTCCTGTCTCGTCGCGTTGACCAAGTACGGATCCGAATGCACTATTTGAGACGGATAAATACAACAACAATGGACTCCCTCCTCGTGGAGGAACCAATAACAGTGGACTGGACAAATATTTCTTGATAGCATCGAAAGTAGTTTGACACTCTTCAGTCCACTTTATCGGGGCATCTTTCTTCAACATCTTGAAGATAGGCTCACACACCACGGTTGATTGGGCTGTGAATGGACTAATGTAGTTCAACCTCCCTAAGAAACTCATCATCTCCTTCTTAGTCTTCGGAGGAGGTAACTCTTGAATTTCCTTAATCTTGGAAGGATCGAGCTCAATACCTCTTTTACTGACTATAAATCCCTACAACTTTCCATCTAGCACTCCAGAAGCTATTTAGCGGGATTCAATTTAAAGTTATAACGCTGTAAATGGTTGAAAAACTTCTTCAAATACGTCAAGTGGTCCGAACTCTTGTGGGACTTGATTATTACGTCATCCACATACACCACGATCTCTTTAGGAACCATATCATGAAGTATAATCGTCATAACCCTTATATAGGTAGTACCAGCATTTTTAGTCTAAATGGCATCACGATGTAATGATATACACCCTAAGGTATAGTAAAATTAGTCTTTTCTGCATCTTTCTCTTCTATCAGAATCTAATGATGACTTGCGTAACAATCCACAAATGAATGTATTTTATGCTTAGCACAATTATCGATCAAAATATGAATGTTTGACAATGGAAAATTATCCTTTAGGCTAGCTTTGTTGAGATCTCTGTAGTCGACACAAATTCAGATCTTCCCATCTTTTATGGCGACCGGAACAATATTGGCTAACCAAGTCGAGTATTGCATCACTTCCACCAATCGAGACTCAATATGCTTGGTGATCTCTTCTTTGAAGCTTGAATTCCAGGCCTTTTACTTTACCGGACTAAACCCTTATTAATCGGCAATTTATTAGACACAACATTGGTACTCAGCCCTAGCATGTCGTTGACTTCCTAGACGAACACATCAATGTACTCGGTGAGTAAGTGTATTAGATCCTTTCTATGAGATTAATTCAAATGAACAATGATTTTGACCTCTTTGACACATTCTTGGTCTCTCGGATTCACAGTTTCAGTTTTCTCCAAATTCGGCTTATGCTGACTATCAAACTGTAGAAAATCTTCAACAACATATTCTGGTGCCTCATTTCCCTGTTCGTATTCATCATCCTCACCATCACCTTCCTCATTTTGTTTGTTCATCTCGTGACATGACATGACATTGGCTGGTTTAAAATTAATATTACTTAAACTATACATAGACAATGTTTGAAAAGTAAAGTATAGAATATTAATATATAAACAAATATCCAAATAAAAGAGGCTTTCATTCAAATTAGAAATAATGCAAACTTTTGCTACGACCCAGGTCCATTTTTCCTTCTCAAACATCACAGGGAATTTTAAAATTCAAGCAATTAAGAAAATGCAAAATGGTGGGTCTCGGGTCTCTTTCGGACTGCCACCGATCTAAATATGCATAAATGATTCCCTTCTACCAAGGATTTCGGGGAATTAAAATCAGCATAAGGTCCAAATCTGCAGCATCTCCCCAGGCTCTGCATCACAGAATCCAGTCAGCTCGACCTTATCCTTAATGACAACATCAATCACTTCGAAAAGGCCACAGATTTCTTCCCCAAGGTCGTCATGCCCGGTATACTCCTGGACTGGAAATGATTGATATACATGAGGGATTTTATTTTCCAATTCTTGATCATTCTTTTTCTTCGTATTCATATCATCATCTGTGGGGATATACCCCAAACCATATCTATCTCCTTTGATGGGGACCAAAATAGGATCGATAATTCCTTGGAAATTTCTTTCCAATCTTAAACCTGGTTCAAAATCATTTTGCACCATCACTGTGTCTATCATTTGTACACACCAGACATGGGAGTCTGTGGGGCCAAGCTCTCACCGGTGGCATTTACCAGCTCCACCATATATAAATATGTACCTCGCCATACCTATCAATAATTGGCGCCTGTCTGCTGGAGTGACTCCCTTCTCCATGAATAACTAGCTCTTCGTCTTTCCAAACAAGTTTCATCATATGATGTAGAGTAGAAGGCACAAATCCAGTCATATGGATGAAAGGCCTTCCCAAAAGAAGGTTATTGCTCGTGTCGATATCCAAGACAAGAAACTATCTGCTGAATTCTTACGGACCCATTTGGATGATCAGATTCACAGCTCCCAATGTATCTCTCAGAACCCCATCAAAGGCTCTCACATAGACTTGGTTTTGTTCCAGCTTTGCCAAGTCAAAACATAACTGCTTTAGTGTCGACAATGGTAAAATGTTCATACTGGATCCATCATCCACCAAGATGTGATTTATGACCTTCTCGCGGCATATGATAGTGATGTGCAACTCCTTGTTGTGTGACCTCCCCTCGAAAGGCAACTCGCCATTGCAAAAGCTAATCCCATGCCCTCGAATAACTTGATTGATCGTAGCGGCCACATTATCACTTCTTGTGCTGACGGGCAGATATGTATCATTGAGAGCCTTCATCAATGCCTTTCTGTGCAATTGGGATCTCATCAACAGGGCCCATACAGAAATCTGGACTGGAGTCTTCTCCAAATGGTTAACAATAGAATAATCCTTTGGCTGGATCTTTCTTAAAAATTTCTCCGCTTCGCCTTCGCTTATCAGCCTTTTAACCTTATCCTTCTTCTGTCCTCCAAGAGCCATCTCTTCGGGAGTATAACACCTCCCCGATCGATTCATACCCTGAGCAGCTGCATTTTCAATCACAAATTTTGGCCTGACAAGAGTTTTTTATGACACTAAGACAACAACCTTCGCAGGTGTCAGGATCACGAACTCTTCTTTATCTTTGACGCTTAATGAGGTCACGACCTTTCTAATTCGTCATGAATTACTGGATTTATGATCTTAGTTACACACCACTCATCATCCGTCTCTATCATGTAGATATTGACACCTTCATGATTCGACAAACGGTTGGTGTTGACATTAGGCGTGGATGCTTGGAGAGAAACCACCTCCTGGTCGATCAGATCTTGAATCTTGTGCTTAAGGTTGATGTTGTCCTCGGTATTATGTCCGACACTATTGGAGTCATACACACACCTTTGATCGGTCCTGTAGAATTTTTAACTAGTATCCACCGTCTTGGGGCCCACAAGGTGGATATATCCGGTCACAACCAGTCAATTGTACAACTTTTTTTGACTTTCAATGAGCGCAGTAAAGTTCCTAGGAAGCTTCTTTATGAATCTGGGTCGACGAGGATCATAACTGCCTTGTTACGAAGGGGGTACCTTTAATAATTTCTTGTATTTAGATGGGGAGCTTGGCTTCTGGGATATGAATTTTTTTGGTAATTTGGTTATGGAGCTTGGTAGTTTGGGGAGGTATTTTGGTAGAGTGGATCTTGGACATGATAAACTAAAGGTGGTGCTCTGTCGCGCAACTGCACATTGGCACAGTTAGGAGCAACATTTTGGTAGTGGGGGGATGGAGTTTCGTAAAGGTAGTGCTCTGTCACTCGACTGCACATTGGCAAAGTTAATAGCAAAATTTTGGTAGTGGGGGGATGGAATTTGGTCAAGTGGAGGAGGATTTTAGACTTTGGAAATATTGAGTGGGGGATTTTTGGTAAGGGGAGGTAGTATTTTGATATTACTAGAGGATTCTTTGGATGACTAGCCTGTGTATAGAAATCGTTGTAAGAGTTATAGGAAGGTCGAGGACGACCTTGCGAGGACGATGATCTTCTGGGAGTCTTCTTCCCCACATAAGAGAAAACAACAATATCTTCTCTCTTGTTCTTTAATAATCCCAATGATCTGGGCGATGCGGCAATGCGGGCTATTTTCCCTATTTTAAAACCATCTTCGATAGTCTCACCAGTGTTGACTATCTCAACAAATTTTGCTCCAATAACCAACATGATTCTATCATAATATTCGGGCTCTTGCACCCACACAAACAATTCCACTACTTCTTTCTCAGACACAGGCGGCCTTACCCTAACTGTTTCATTTCTCCACCTGTAGGCGAACTCTCTATAACTTTCAGTAGATTTTTTGTGTTAAATTTTCCAAGGAGTATCGATCGGGAATGATTTCGACGTTGTAAGCAAACCGATCATTCCAATCGGTCCACTGCTTGGTCTCGTGGGAGATGAACCAATCCTGAACCTCCCCGCATAGACTTCGGCTAAAGATCCACATCAATAAAGCTTCGTCTCTACCAACTCTAACAAGCTGGTCGCATTAGGACCTCTTATGGGACATAGGATTTCCTACTCCATCGAAAGTATCAAACTTAGGAATTTTGAACCCTTCTTGGAGGTCAAAATTTGGGTGGATGCATAAATCCTCATAATTAAGACGAGCGACATCAGAGATGCTTTGGAACACTTTCATGGCTTTCCTGATCTCTTTTTTTATATTCACTTTTGCTTCTTCCTTTGCCCT